TACAACTTTTGTCTCAAAGCTAAGCTGCATATTCCATATGCATTGTTTTGGTAATTGAAACTTTCGTTGTTCAATCTTTGCTCACGCTTGAGGCAACTGTATTCTTTATTTTCTTCCAACATCTTACCATTCATATTCATATCTAAGCATTTGGTGCTCAAAATAAGTACACCTACACGAAAGGTATGTGTGCTTCACTGTTGGAGCTGAAAATCGCCATATCTGGGTATAAAGTTCTACTTCAGTTTTCTTCCTGATGCCTCGTTGATAAAAAAAAATTGGACATGAAAAAAATGCCTACCTCTTTTCTGCAACTTAAGCACAGTTTCCAAGTTAGTTTCACGCTGCCTGACTTCAATTTGAGGGAAATTTTTTAGTAAACTCAAGCCTTTGAATAAAAGAAGAAGAGACAATGAGTCTGAATTTTTGTTTCTTTCAGCAAGTTCAGTGATTAGCAAATCTTAAGCTAAGGCAACCAAAAAATTTAACGCATTTCACTGCTTCGTCGTTTTCTAGCGGCTAGGTCAGAACAGCTGTGAATATGGCTAAAAAGTACAGGTAAAAACAAAAATTTGCACTGCATCATTATTGTCCTCATCAAAGACAGTGCCTAAGCAAAAATGGCCTTGTCAGGCTTTTTTGGTAATGAGGCTGGCGTAAGACTTCAAACAAGTAGGGGAGGGTGGACCTGGAGCTGTTGCATACTTAGAAGGTCTGGCGCTTACTGGCATTGAAATTTGGCAAGGGTACATCTCAACCATTCCTTCTTGATATCTCTTAGTCTTCCTTTTTTTACGTTGAAATTTGAGTAATCAAGGAAATTGTTAGATTAAAAAAACGGTATGCCAGTATGTCAAGAAATCATAACAACGCTTTCGTTGTCTTAACGTCTACAATTTGCTACTCCATATTGCATTGTTTCAAGGAGATAGGTTCAATTTCCTTTCTAATTCAAACAATTTGAAGAATTTGATCCCCTGTAACAATCGTTTTACTGATCGTTCTTCAACGTCTTCTGTTAGCTATTTATCTGCGCACCTGGTGTGAAATACGCAGACCTACACGATTCTCTAGAACTAAAGATCAAAAACCGGGATTTACTGAATGTATAAAAGGCTCAAGCTATATTTATTGCATATTTATATACTTTCTGTGTGGTTTATCAGTGCTTATAATTGAATCTGTGCAAAGTTTCTGACGATTTTGGGCTCGAAATGCTACGATTGTCAACTGCTTGGACAATACTCAATTTGGCATTTCTAACTTCGAAAATTCTTTGCATATCGCTTGAACTGACAAAATTTTCAATTTTCGTTCTTTTTGCTTTGTTCGACTTTAATAAATTTCAGACCTGTATTCTCAAAGTTTTCAGATAGGCTTTGTAACAGACAAAAGAGAGGAAGAAAAGCATTATGTAATTCTTGTCAAAGCAAAGCTTATGCAGTGTTTTTTTCGCTCTGCCCAACTGCGTTTCTAGAAATAAAAATTGACTTTAAAATGACTTTTCTGAAATCCTTTGCTTTCAATCAAGTGTTACATCACAATAAAAACCAAGAAAACTTCTAGATTAAAAATTTAAAAATTTACTACTGGTAAACCTGCTCTGCTTGCTGAATTAGCGCTCAGCGAGTAATTATCAGAGCGTGCATTTCGGTCACAGCTGTGCCTTTGCAGGGAATCACGTCATACCTACAACGCAAGAAGCTTAAGGAAGAAAACAATACTTTACATCATTCTATATCTGAATTATCAGCTGGAGTTTAAAAAGATCGAAACTAGTAAGTAAAAGTTTTTGAATAAATTTTAATTCTTACAAAATGAGAATCCTGAGAACGTGATGTTAGACAAGGTAAAATGGGACGGAAACTTTGACGTCTTAGCGATTACGTGAGAACTTTTACTGAAGATTTCCTACTATATTTCTCCATACCATTCTATCACGGATCAATATAAGGAACAGTAGATACCTTTTGCAGCAACTTGTTTATCCTCTACGCTTAGGACGTCTTACAAAAATTGCATTGAGACATGGATTCAAATACATAGCAAATTTTCTCTTTCGTGAAATAAAAAATTACTGAATAAATGCGGATAAATAATAAATAACTAATAATCAACAAAATTATATCGTAAGGAAAGCTCCAATAAATCTAGCAGTTTTGCTCGAAAAGAAAGACATCAACACATCGGGGTGTAGAGCAGAAACATGAGTTTCAAGAAAAGAGCAAGACGGAAGCTGCGATTTATACAGTCATACTCGCTCGATTGACTTGTTGTAGAGAACGCTCAACTCGACAGGTTGTACGGTATCTCAAAAATGTCCTCTACTTGTCATGAGTGTCTTCTCCATTGTTCTTCTCTGGGTGCATAGCAAGTGGTATTTGAGCACAAATGAATTGAGTAGTAGTGGTCACTGATGCAAGGTAATGTGCCAAATATGCAAGTAAAAAAAGCGAAAATTGAGATGTCTTATGCTAATTTGCATAGTTTCCAACAAGAGCCCTTAAGCTAAACTTACGTGGAAATTCCATTTTTTTTTCAGGTATTTTGAGAAAATAAAAATTTAAAATCTAAAATTCAGGACGTTACCTCTCCCATTTCGTACACTCTTCAAAATCGTCAGTTATTGAAAAATTCTAAAGAGAGAGCTTCTCAGTGTGGCTTATGTTTTCGAAAAACTGGTGTTTTATCTTGCTGTTTCGCATCTATACCAAATTTTATTTTGTTAGTTTATTTTTTCAAATTTCAAATTTTCAAGTCTTTCAAATGCAATACATTTTATTTTTCTAATTTCAAACGTAATCAGCAGATGAAAATTTTGTGGATAACATTCATAACGAACTTCGGCGACATAGGCTTTAACGCAAACCCCTCAGAGTAAAATTCATGGATGATGTCACTGAAGTTCTGCATGTTTTGCAAGTTCAACATTGTTTCACCATAGTTGTACAGAAATGGTCAATGTAGATATAACAAATTATGTCAACTTATCCTTTGCAATTTTTCGCCTGCTCAAAAAATGCAGCAGTAAAAAGATATTCTGTTTCGAAGATAGTCAAAGAGTATTTCGGATCACATTCACAAGCCATAACTAAATTTGAGATGTAGTGGGATAGAACGAAATTTGCTCATTAAACCGGTAATGCACATTTGTACCTGATTTATATTCATAAAGCGCGAAAATGTGATGCTTGAAAGATTATTTCGTGATAAGCAATTACAGCCATACGATATAGTACTTTTCATCTTACAATTAGAGGCAGTGAAGTGCGCTTTGCAGATATGTAAGTTCATTAAACCAATTTTCTGAGTATGTAATGCCCTTACTTATTCAGGCTCATAAGGACTGAAAATTGACGGCTTAAATTTGAATTTGTAACAAATTTTACTGTTAGAATGTCGTAAGCTGCTTTGATCTTTTGCTCAGAAATTTTTTTATCAAGCTCACGTTTTGATCATTCAAAACGTTGGAATAATTTTTTCGTTTTCGCATTTTCGCATCAGCTAGAACACAACGCTGCGAGGATTTTCGTCTCATGGGAAGAACTGATTATAGAGCAGTATGAGTATGAAATTTTGAGCATAAGACATGGTCAGGTCATTCTTCTGTATGAGTGTTATATTTTAGCCAACAATTATTTTGCACTTTGTGAATCTAATCGCAGAATATACTACAACCTTAGGATAGTGGATGGGAATCCCGGATATATCTATGGTCTGGGACAAGCCGGTTTCAAAAATTTTCTATACGCGTTATACGAAGGTGACACTGTTTGGATAACGAAAATAAGGTACTATCACACTTTTGTTTCAATTTCTAGGTCAGCTCGCAAGCAAGTAATCCCAATCTCTCTTTGAAATGAAATCGTTTCATATCTTTCTGTTTTGGCCAGCACTGTAATGAAAACATCGTCATTCGCCATCACCATCGCTGTTCAAGCAACACCTGAACACGGAAAAAATGCAAAATTTCCTATAAAATTCTTAAATTGAGCCCCTTCTAAACATTCATGCGTTTTACAAAGAAGCCAAGCACATGCTTTAACTGTGCATAAGTTTGATTGCTTGCTTAATATTCCTAAAATACGTAAGTTTGATTACCTGGCACCTTTCAGTGACTGAATGATTTCTTCAGTCATTGAAACATGAGCCTTCCTCTCCCATTATTTTGCCATTCAAAGAAAATCTTCGGTTGCAGTTGTTTTCCACAAAAAAAACCCCTACTCTATCACGAGAAAGCAAGATGTGCGGTCTTCATATCAGCAGAGCTGTCTGTCTCATATCAATTCGTAAAGAATGTATAATTTGGAAAGAACGTAGCTCACCATAGCGACGCTAGTCTCTTTAGTCTCTTAACTAATTTTCGTAATTTTGTAAGATTCTCTTGATAGCACTCTAATTTGTCCGTTAAACAAAAGTTAATCCATTGACTTGCAGAAGCAATCGCACCTAGACCGACTTAGCTTTGACTAAAATTTTGCGTCATTAAAGTCTTTGACTACATAGGAAAGCAGCTCTGAAAGAAATTGGCATCTGGAGACTAACTACTCCATGTTTTTGCTTCTCTCAAGGTCTCTATGTTTATATGTATACATCTAGTACCGATGTGAGACATTATCACCTAACTCACATCGTGATTACAGAGAGTAGTGATAGACGTTAAAACACTTGGCATCTTACCCATTCAAAACGGCTATTGAAGCTCTGATTGTCACCTCTGGTGGAATTCGAGTTTGTTGCTTTTAGGCAACACAGACTAAGTGGTAAAAACTTCAAATTGTTGGCGTTAAAAAGCTTGCATTCTGTCATAAAACTATTGAGAGCATGGCATGTTTTCTATCATAGAATGTGGTAATCTGAGTCATTCATGATTTTATGTGATAGCAGTTGTCACTTATTCTTCGGCTTCTTTATCACTGCTTATCATTCCCTGATGATTCTACCGATTTCCAGTAGCTTATAGGAAATATATATATGAATCATTAGTGATTTGGATTTAGAGTCGATTGGACGGAGCTAGCAAATGTTGCGAAAGCGCTCAACATCCGTTTCGCCTCGAGAGCTGCTTGCAAAGTTTTTTGACAAAGCGGATTTTATTGTCGGAAAAAGCGTACGCTACGCAGGTTTATAAATCCAGATTCACACAAGACAGTTGAGATATGATGTATTTGCAGTTACCTTGCTAGTCGGTGTTACCACGGTTGCCATAATCATCGCAATTGTTTCATTAACACGCTCAAAAAGCTCAGGTTAGATTGTCGTGTAATTTCAATGATTTTAACGATCTGCTTCAACAACATTCATAAAAATGTTGATAACTTCTACCGGGAAGTAGGACTTGAAAAATTTAGACATGGATATAAATACCCAATTTTCAGATGTATAAGCCGCACTTTTTCAAATTTTCAAACGAGCTGCTCAGCCGCTTCATTGTGTTTCGAGAAGCGAACCTCATGCCGCACTATTCTTCCAGGCAAAAGCAGCACGATTTAGGGTCCTTTGGTTGCGAAGTCCTTTGATGTATTCGGGCTGATCGATATAAGCTATCACGCGGCTTATACACCTGAAAATAGGGTATATGTTCTTTTTTGAATTACTGCAATAGCCATTCTTTTCTCGAACAAAGTAAGAAGGTTTTCGTCCTTTTACTTAAGCACTTTTTTCCGTTTTCATTCCACAGTCAGTAAATCCAATTGGTAACCAGCATGATTGTCGTTTTTGAAGACAGCCATAATGTTGACAACTTTCTCAATTTGCAGACTGGAGGCTGTGCATAAATAATTAGGTTTCAACAACAAGTTGCATGTGAAAAAACTCAAAAGTTTTTGGGAATTATCAGGTGAAACAGCGAACACTCCAAACACTAATTTTGTCACGATGACGACTATCATAACAGCTACGGCCGGTAGTGCGAGGACGAACGGTAATTTAAGTACATCAAGTACTGCGTCAACTCGTGCAAGTACACACAAAAGCACAAATGCAGGTACTACCACGACTTCGACAATCAGTACGAAACGTTCCGCTAAGCCGATAACTACGACATCTGCTACCACCTATGGTAGGAATACGACCAAGTCAACTACGACAACAAAACGGCCAAAACCTCCAGGTTTGTGCGGATTATACTGCTAAAATCATGATTATTTGCTTATGATTTGGATTTTGCAATTAGTTTAGGGCATCCACTCCAAACATTGATTTGTGCGCAACATGATGTTTTCGTAGCGCAGTGTTAGCTAACAGTTTGATGAGCTGACATCTCAATCACAATATATTTGCAGTTCCTAAACTAGGCTGCTGCATAAGTATAGCCGTCTTTTTATATCTTGTGATCAGAACATTCTACTAAATTTTTGCGTTTATTGCCACACTTTTGTACCATTGAAAAGCAATTTTCTTGTTCTTTTTGACACTACTCAATTTTAAAATAATTTCGCTCTGACGAGATTGCAATCCCAAAAGCGCGGGTTATCGAAATACGGGCTCAAGTATGAAACGTATTTGTTAAGATGCCAATCAAGCTAAAATTTAAGCTGCACTGCGTTCGATTGCACCTATGGCAGCGAATGGTTGGCCGTTTGCTATGTCACTAGCCTTCATTTATTTAGAACAGAAGCAAAAATTTGCTTTCATCTTTGGATCATTACATGAGCACAAAATTCCAAATTCAAACTTATTCAACATTGTACAGAACGTGCGAAAATATTTTTGCGTTTCGTTATGTAAGAAAGTTATTTCAAACAAGCATTTGTAATCGTCAAGAAAAGGTATTGGACTCAAAATGGCCCCCTTCCAAGATGTATACCATAATGACCATCGTAAAATGCTGATTACGAAGATGCTTTACTTATCTACTTAGATAAAGCTATAAATTTACAGACATTTCGTTTGAGCCCAAATAGTGGATTTGCCGCTTGTCACATGATTAAGGTAGCAGAATAGCTTCAAAATCATTCCCAACAATTTTTCATGTACAATGAATATATCTCAGAAGTATGAGCATGTAACTTTATGTAACTTCGAAGCAAATTCGCATTTACTCTAGCTTACGTCTTTTAGACATTACCTGACCATGCAATTTGGAAGCAGAAAATTGCCTCTAATCTTGCTTAGTAAAGTTGAGAAGATATAGAAGTTTGTTTTGGAATTTGCGCGTAAAGACGTTTCCTGGTTAACATCTCATTGGGTAAGTCTTTAGTGCCTTCACTTGTTAGCCATCAAAATAAAAAGGTATCTGACTACAAGACGGACACATTTTGAGAGTTGCATGACTGATGCCCAGATTTGCTCCGAATAAAGAAATTATAAGTTATGGAAAAAGCGAGAAGTTTTCTGAAAGCCTTTATGTTACAATAATTTAAGAGCAATATGAGATACTTTTGTGTTTGCAGTTCCATACAAAGGGCTACAACTCTTCTTAACACAGTTCTTTTTGATTTCAAACGCCCTGCAACAGTTTGGAGCGTAGATCAAGGGAAAAACCTAACAAATTTGTGGAGATATTTCTAGGTGCATTTTTATCTTTTAGCGTGAGCCGCCGTTACTTTTTTACATGGTTTCAGAGTTTCGAGTAGAGAGTGTTGGGAAATCTTTCTGCGGTCAAAGTGAAGCATGTTTTATACAGGTTTTATGTTTACAAATGTATTTTAATCTATGCATGTTTTTGAGATTGAGCTTGGGCTACTACTTTATAAATCCAAACAGCCAGCATTTTTGCAAGAATAGTTCCAATAAAAGAAGCACTTGTTAGAATACTTTTGCAATCATAGAAAAAGACTGTGCCGTTTGCGGTTTGAACCAAGAAAAACAATAAAAGAAGTCTATCAGCTTATTTGATACCAGTCCAAAGCGCCGCTTCGCGGAGCGTGTGAAGTAGAAGAAACTGAAAGTTAGACCTTTTGAGGATTGTAGTTTTTTCCTTGCTAAAAGTATGGCACGGATTTGAAACGCAACGACCCCTAGAGGTCATCAAAGTCATCATCTCCTGCTTTCGAAGATTTTGATTTTCTTATCAAAAGTGGCGGCAGAATTATGACTGCTTCCTCCCAGCTTCTTCAAGCTGCTTCGCTCCTTCCTTTGCTCCACAGATACGCAAATTTTATGTAGCGTTTTGCTCTCCAACCCCTTTGAGGATTGCTTCCCCCTCTCCTCTCAGCTCCTTTTCACCCAGGAGCAAGCGCTCAAACCCGGCAATCTTTTATCAGCCATGTACTTCCCACTTGGGCCCTGTTTCAAACTGAAAGATCCTCTTCCCCCTACCCCCCCCCCCCCCCCAGCTGCCTTATAACCTCCAGTCCCTCAAAAGTTCTTACTAACATAGGAATGGTCAGAAGTCGAAGTGGCCAATCCGAGCAAGCTGCCTACAGTCCAATGCGCGTTATACGCTGGTTTCCAATCTGTATTCCACATCTGCTTAGCGACTTTGTGGACGAAGTTATGAGCAGTTTTATTGCGAGAAAACCGTACGCAAAAAATGCGAAATTGGGCACACCGTTGCATTTTCAGTTCATCATTGGGCTTCAAAAGTGTTAAGTAACCTAGCTGCGTGGTTGGCCCAGCATTTAGCCGAATATGGCTCTGTACTGCCAAAATTATGCTTTTCATACACAATTTCTTAGCAAATTAACGGCCTTCAACCGCTAATAACTTCGCCCACAAAGGCGCGCAGATGTGGAATTCAAATTTGAAGTCAGAGTTTTATGCTGTACCTAGTAGTATGCAGCTTGTCTAAACTGCCCATCGTTTCTGACCATTCAAGTGCCAGGCTACTCTTATCTCTTTTCGAAATTAAAATAGCGGAAATCGGATTGACTTCCTCGAAAATTAGCCAACATAACTATCAAATCTAGAGTTTTTCAATTCAAACACTTTCTCTTTCTCTTCACAAAGTATTTTTTGGAAGCGTCAAAATTTTTCCTCCTCTTCAAAAAATTTTACATCGAAATTCTAATTGCGTTTCATAAGGGCTTCCCAAACTGTCCAGCATCTTGCAATTTATACAGAGGTGCTTCAAAATCCGTTTAATTTTCGGGTTATCTCATTAATAACATATTATATAAGATTTTTAAAAGGCGCGACTTTTTTATTTTTCTGAGGCGCACAGTGGGAGCTATGATGGACTAAAATGCAACCTTTAACACCTTTTGAATAGTAAATATTTGCAGAATGAATGATGTTTGTGAAAACCTTTTGAATGGTATGCTACAATTTTCCGGGATCTAAACGTCTAACTGAGGAATTCGTGCCAATCTCTGATCTCTTGCACAGAGTCAACAATGTTTTATAGAGAAATTACGCGAGGTACTGTCCAACAAAGTGTTGCACGATCAAGGCTGTGCTTGAATTACTGCTAAAAACAGAATAAATTCGCTTTTGAATGAGCAGAGGTGAAATTCGAATTACTGTTCTGCTGAAATACCTGACAATTTCAAACGAAATGCTTATTGAAAAATTATGAACAGAGATTGTCTTAAGAAAGTAAAAATATTTGCGAGAAATTTTCAAAGCAGATTTAGCGCAATTTTTCTGAAGTAAAGATAATTACTAAGTATTTTATGCAGGAATTCTGATAACTTCAACTTTCTTGCTGAGATATATGAGCACAAAAATTAGAAAGCAGAAAAATCATCGAATAAAGATATGGCGCAACTGCTTTAGGATGAAAAAACATATTAAGCACTCGAGAAATGAATTATGGGAGACCGCAACATTTTGCTGAAATATCTGACTTTTTTGAAAAGTTATGATGTACTTCTAACTAAACGCTCTAGCGTAGAAGTACAAAAGCTTGAAATGTCAAAAAAAATGAAAATAAATTTTCTAACAATAATGTGTTGGTAGCACTTGTTGAAACTGAAAAAACGCTAATTGTTTGATAAAAATCTTGTAAGAGTTTGTGCTTAAATCAAAGGATTGGAAAACAAATATTCTAAAGACGGATTCGTTGCAATTTTCTGTACGAACTCATCAGAGGTTTTGGACTAAATTAAATATAAGGGAATCATCCTAATAAGTTGCTTCTTGCAAAGTTATTGTAGAACGAAATGTGCAGATTTTTGGTTCATGGAATATTGCATCTACATCTGCAATCTTTGAAGTAATTGAAGGAATTTGATGGTTTAAGAGAAATGATGTTCTACATCATTCGAAATTGAATTGCTAAAAACGACTCGAACTATGCGGAAGCTAGCTTGTCTAGTGATTGCACCTTTTGGGTCATGCCACTTGATCAACATTGTCTGGGACAGGCATCACTGCCACGAGTCATCAGCTCGGCTCGCACCGGCACAAAACGATGGTCGGTTGTTTACACCTCTGCCGCGAGCGATGACGTCAGATGGGGGTGCTTGCGCTTTATATATAGTATGATAGTTTCGCAGCAAAAGTTCCTGTTGAAATTCAAACAAACCACAGATTTTTTTACAAATGGAACGAAATTTCTTCCCAATAGTTGTATGTTCCAATATTTCTTTACACAAAAGTAGTCCCTAAATCAATATGAAGCTTCAATCTCGCATGAAAATGCAAAAACAAAAATTTGCGTAAATCTCATTTTACAGGGAAAACCACTCAATTACAGTACAAATTTGAGTGGGAAAAAACTTTTCATAGTTTCATTGAAACATTAGGTTGATATCGTCTGTTCTCAAAAAACACTCTTATATAATAATCTTTCTTGCTGAATTTTTTGTTTCCACATCTCTATAGGGGATGAAATACTGCCACAGCATTCTATGAACAGTTGCTGCGCAGGATTTTTTTTGTGGATATTTTGCGGCTAGATAGCGGTTTTGGATCTAAACTCGAAATCGTAACCTTCAAAGACCATATTTAAAAGTTCTGTTCTCGGCATGCTCGTAGAATCACTATTTGGCATACACCGGGAGCGCAAAACTTCTCGTATTTTTGGGAAACAAAAGTGGTGAATTTGAGTTGAGGATTTTAAAAGTGATCGAATTTTGTTTAAAATCAGCAAGAGCTTTTATTTAGAACCTATTATTTTCTACTCTGTTTAGCAAGAACCAAAAGGCACCTTAACCCCATTTTACGCGATTTTTCTTGGATCAAAACGCACCAAAGGTGTCGGTCACAGACAGAAATCTTGACAGAAATCTTTATATTGACTTGTCCTTACTGATAAAACTGTTATCAAATGCAACCAGCAGAGATATCACTGAGTGGTACCTCGTAGTAATCGCTAATCTGTTTAATTTAGCGCTAATTCATGATTTGTATTACGCGTGGCATATTTCACGTATGCGTATGTAGAGCTTCAGGTTCATTTGATATACACTGTGCCTTCGCAGCGGACTCGGAAAATTTCAAAGAAACTCAAACTCCTGAACTAGACAGGGTAAGCTGCTGTATACTTTGCTAGCAACTCATTTAAGGTACTGAAAAGACTATTGAACATGTGCTTCATGTATAATTCTGAAGACCTACAAATGAAATCTTTTCTTTAGCAGAAGAAATTGATGAAGGATCTTGGTAAGAAAGTTATCGACACCAGCTCAAGTTCAAGTGCAGGTCTTTGGGCTTACGGTAATGTGAATAAAGCGAAGAAATTTGGGGACGTTTTCGATGATATGGTGGCTGATTTCTCAAAGTTCTGTATGAAGGCAGAAGATATTCTTAATTCTGGTGACTATCGCTCTCCTCCTGGCGGTGAAAAGTGAGCTTTTGTGACTTTTCCGCAAGCAATCCTCAGAATTACTTCAAATTTATTTTTTAGTACATTACAGCGTTATTGATCACATCAACAATGCAATCGACAAAAACAACACCGCAAACTGTCTGCTATTCTTAACGGGCAGGTGGGTTACAAAGTGCACTTCGTGATATATACAGCATCAACCATCTTAAAGGTTTTTGGGTGGGAGTGATAAATCAGTCTTTGTTATGGATGAAAATACGGATGTTTGGAGATTGCAACAGAGATACTTGTTACACATCACCTCCCTAGAAAGCATTCCTCTACACTGCGTGTTATGGTTTGTGACCTTGTGCTCGAAGGGAACGTGATAAAAACAACCACTTTTTGTGTACCAAATTGTTTTTTTACGCAAAAAGAGTGAAATATCTCAAACACATTTCTGAAAGTAGATTTGAGGAAGGAAGCCGATTACGCTCACAGAAACCATCGCTTTTCGTAACTTGGATGCCATAGTTTTGTTTTACCAGATATTTTTCTGTAAGCTATAAAGTCAGATTAATTATACATTCAGAATATTTACAAAAATTATAATTAGGCAATAGGAATTGCCAAATTTGTACTTTTGGTAACCCAATCGTTGTTGGCTTTAGCGTGAACTCTTTCAGCATTGCATTTTTTTTTCTTTCCCATTAAAAATGATTTTTCTTTTCTCTAACAATAGAGTAGTTCAGCAGCGTCACTGATAACGATATGAGATTGAATTCACAAGCGCTGAGATCGCGAACCAAAACGACCCATTCTAGTGAATGCTTGGAAGCTTCCACCTCAAGCTCATATGGCAGCGTTACTTCTCATTGAGATAGTATTCCCATCACTTTTTGGCTCTGACAGAACATTTTTTGTACAGCACTTTGTACTGATAAAATCATTATTCTCACAGTGATATTTTTGAAGAAAAATGGAGCGATCTGAACTTCATGATAACAGCGATATATCGTCTCTATATGAACGAGCTAACGATTTCTAATAATTTTTGTCTGCAGACAAACCTGAACATGGAGAGCCAGTTTAGGAAAGTGTTAAAGCAGCAGCTTTGAAAGAAAAGTCATCAATGCTTCTACCTTAAGAGATGGTCTTGTTTTGCAGCAAGGAGGAAAAGCCCGCTTGGAAGATTGACCCGGTTTATAATTACACGAGGATTGTGATCATCAGCTTGCAAGGTAAGCAGGGATCTGGGTCTCAGTGCCTCGTTGTTACAGAACATGTTAACCTACTGAGGATAATGTGGTTACTCACGCATTTTTTGCTGCCAGAGACGATGTGGACCACGGGTGACCCACACGTGTTGCGAAGACCTATCCTTTCTGGGTCAAGTGTTTCTTCCAAAAATTGATATTTTTTCCAATTCTATGCACTCTTGGGACCTTAGGCTCCGTCGTTCAAAAAATGTCTATAGTTGCAACAAAGCAACCTTGCAATTTTTAAATAACCACACGCGCGTCAAACAGCGCTGCCACGCAAAATTAGGCGTCGTCGTCGATGGGTTAAGGAAGAGAGAACTATTTCAACGTGCATTAGATGCCTTGTTGTGTAAATGGGAGGCATGCTTATTCGTGCATCTCATCTACACGTCTATAAATTCGATGCACAATGTGCGGATTTTGATTTCTTGAAAGTCTCTCACGGAAACACAAACTCATAAACATAAGTAAATAAAAGAATTTTCTCCTAACAGTTCGATTGGTTACCAAATTTTGAGCTACGACAACTAAGAAATCCAGTGCACATTCATCACTGATCTTTTCATTTTTCTAGCGGCTAGATTCAGAGCCGGTTTGGATTATTACTAAGAGAAAAAGCAAAAATTTGCGCTGCCTTTATTGTCTTCATGGTAATGGCGCTGCAAAATTGGCCTCAAAATTTGAAGTAATGGGGCTGATGGTCAGCAGCTCGCATTCATTGTCATGCCTTTCCCCCGGCCATTGCCTTCATCCACCCCTCCTCCACTTTTTTATGTTAAACTTTGGAACAGCGGAAATTAGTCAGAGTGAGAAAAACGCTTTGCTAAAAGCTTTTGTTCACCACGTTAAGATGCACAATAATTCCAGGTGCCGATTTTACCAACAACGTTAATATTACAAGAGGCTTTTCCCGGAACGTAGACCTCGAGCATTTCAATGAGTCTGACATCCAAGCTGTATACGATGAAATCATACGGGGCTTCAAGAGGAGTTGGACTTACACGTACTTGAACGAATACATTGAGTACCAGTATGTCTAGAATTTATAATGCCCTTTTGTATTTTAAGATTGTCACAATATAGTTTCGAAACTTCCAAATTACTGCTGCGTATTGAGTATCATTTTGAAAACTGGAGCTTTCATTGTTCACTTTTCAAAGGTCAACGGCCAAAGAATAGGTTTTGTGCTTGAGGCAACTGTAATCCTTATCTTTCTCCAGCGTTTCACCGTTGATTATTTTTTCTAGTATCTATGCATTTAGTGCTTGAAATAAGACACCTATACGATACGTGTATGTGTGCATCACTGTTGGAGTTGAAGATTCGCCATATAGTCGGCGTATAAAACGTTCTGCTTTAGTTTTCTTTCGACACTTACTCATGCAATTTTTTATGTGCTCCATAGTTGTTTCATTTATTGAGTCTCCGCAAAAAGTGTAGCTTTTGGACTCAATTACGATAGACAAGCTACTTGGATCGCATTCATTGCGCATCACTAGCTGCCGCCTTTCAAAGATTCTTTGTTTATTCGCATGATTCGCCACAAATTTCAGCCATTCTTTTTTCCTTGTTCGATTTTAATCAATTTCAAACATGTGCTAATTCTTGGAAGAGACTTTGTAAGAGACAGAACAGCTTAAATAGTGCAATGCTTTTTTTCTGCAATTGTTCCACTATGGTTTTTAAAACTTCGCATCTTGCCAAAAAAATAGAGTGATACATCACAATAACCAAAAAGCTTTGGATTTCGAAGTTTTGGAACTTCATTACCGGTAAACTGCTCTACATAGTAACAAATTAGCGCTCAGCGCATCTTCGCAAATCCTTAGAAGGCGGATGATGCACGGGAAAAGGCATGGAGTCGTAAGTGGGAAAGCGAAACAATTAGTTTCATAGTTTTCCGTCTTAACAAATAATCACGATAAGGCAATCCAACATCATCATGAGGAATGGCAACAAGGACGGCATCGTCTTAAAGTTGAGTAGAAGCCTACACAACTGTGTAGCAATGGGACCTATTACGATAGAACAGGACAGTTGGGAAAACTGTCAACGATCACAGCACAGTCAACAGAGCATGAGCAGCAGCTCAATAACCAATTAACAATACAAATTTTTGTGCAAAAGTTCCAGGCACGCAAAAAACAGCAGAAGACTGCAACATAAGGGAGAGCAAAAGTCCTAATGGACCTTAAACAAATAACTTAAAGGCACCGTCCACCCAAATCCTGGAATTCCATGTTTTTGTCGCTTCCAGGCCTTCTGAAGGTCCTGATTTCGAATACAATGTCGAGAGTCTTCGAACCCTCCCCCCCCCCCAAATCCCCCGCTTTGGGGAAGGGTGCAATGCAGATCGCGGGGCTGCGGGCGCGTTTATACGCCGAGCGCGTCATTTGCAAAGCTGCAAAGTGGGCGAGGCATTTTTGATATTCTGCACACCCAGGTAGGCGGAGTGATCAGCATCGGATTACGTCCCTTCCGGAGCGGATTTCTTGCTCCGAAAGCAGTCTTCTGCTGCGCAACTTGGGGGGTTTGAATAGTTTGGGGGCCCACGCTAGTATGCCATCATAATCTCATCAACCCCAGCTTTGGGTGAACGGTGCCTTCAATGACATCTACAATGTCATCTTACAGGAAGAACACCTAAATCACATGCTTTCATGCAAAGAGCAATTTTGATGTTCTGCAGAAAGCTCTACTGAATGAAAAGGAACTTGGAAGGCAGGAGCCTCTTGCGAATGCTGCAAAAATAGAGGGCACAGACGGCATTGACGTCTCACAAAAGTGAGACGAAAAATTTTCAAGGACTAAGCGAGAAAAGACTTTTTTAAAATATATCCCCATACCATTTGGTCATACAAATACAAATAACAGCAGATACATTCCAGAGCAATTTAATCTCATACTTAGGAAGTCATTTCCATGTGTTCTCTTCTTTGAACCTGGGCATTTTCGTTTCGATCGTTGTGTGGGGTTTTCTTATGCCGAAAGCAGGTTAATTGGTGGAACTTCTTTATTGACTCAACGTTTCGAACAATTCGTCTTCGTTAGGAGTCTGAAAAGGATCGTAGGTACTCGTACTTTCACTATACCGCCAAACGTCTCGTCAAACGCTGCCCGTTAGACCTTTCCTGGTGCAATGTACTGAAAAGCTAAACGAGAGTGCCAACCTCAGTCCACCATAAGACCAGTAGCCCACACAACTGTGACGGACGCAACTGAGTTTATAATCAGCGTGTCAAGTTATATATATTATGTGCGGATGTGAGCTTGCATAATGATAGCAGAGGCAAGAGATCACTCGTAATGGCAATACCTTCATTTTTACTATTCATAGCAGGATTCTTGAAGGATATCCATGCTGCTTCAAGCGTTTTTCGTGCGCAAATCTCATTCTCAAGAGCTAGTGTAGTACATCTAACCAACCGCTTTTTGATGTTGTCACTGGGTATATCAACTAATCTGGCATCGTTTTGCAGTTGAGCACGAAGAATGCACTGTTTAATTGCCCTGCTGACTTTATCGCAAATGAAGGGTATGCATAGCGGAAGTTTGGTGTCATTACGCTGCCCGTTGCCATTTTGACCTTTGTTAGATTTTCTTAATCGTGATCGTGTGGCTATGTTGTAACCATTGCTAAGAGCAATTTTCGTGGCCAATTCTAGTGATTCGAGTCGCTCGTTCTCGCCCGTGCATACTCCTACAGCAGTTCTATATATGTTATACAATATATATCAGGACTGCATTGTTTGCCCTTACGGAAAAGCAGGGGATTGCGCAAAAACGGGAGTTATATACCAATTAGAATGTCTAAATTGCGGAGCATTATACATAGGCGAAACGGGTAGACCTTTGAGCACTAGGATTGAAGAACATATGGCTAGCGTGAAGCGAGGAACTATAGCATCACCTTTAGGTAAACATAGATTTGAAGCACGCGATGGCACCTTATTCGACGTAAAATGTACTACACTAGCTCTTGAGAATGAGATTTGCGCACGAAAAACGCTTGAAGCAGCATGGATATCCTTCAAGAATCCTCTATGAATAGTAAAAATGAATGTATTGCCATTACGAGTGATCTCTTGCCCCTGCTATTATTATGCAAGCTCACATCCGCACATAATATATATAGCTTGACACACTGAGTATAAACTCAGTTGCGTCCGTCACAGTTGTGCGGGCTACTGGTCTTATGGTGGACTGAGGTTGGCACTCTCGTTTAGCTTTTCAGTACATTGCACCAGGGAAGGTCTAACGGGCAGCGTTTGACGAGACGTTTGGCGGTATAGTGAAAGTACGAGTACCTACGATCCTTTTCAGACTCCTGACGAAGACGAATTGTTCGAAACGTTGAGTCAATAAAGAAGTTCCACCAATTAACCTGGTTTCGGCATAAGAAAACCCTACACAACGATCAAAACGAAAATGCCCAGGTTCAAAGAAGAGAACACATGAAAATAGCCACTATGCTTTGCTGAGGCAAACGCTGTACACGATTGATGCGACGAGCAGGAGTCCGTGCGCGAATAGAGCAATCGGGGTGCGTCCTATACTCGTGGAATTAAGGTATGGCTTAGGTTATTTTCGATCGCTTGCTTTCCTTTTCTGTTGACGATGTCCTGCTTTCGCATCTTCAAAGTACTAGTTATTATTTGCGCAAATACAGGGTGTCCCAAAAAATGTGCCTACTGTTTGATTGTAAATAACTCTCTTGTAATGAAGTCTATCGAGAAGCTTTAGGTATCGATCTGTAGGGCGAAGCTAAACTTAGATTTACAGTATGGAGCGAATCATCTATCTCTCTTCATTGCCGTAGGATTACGGTACGAAATTCGACAAAGATTTTAGGCCATTGGAGGCTATAATCTGCCTCGGAACAAAACCAAACAAGCCAAAAACTCTCATACTACAGTAATAAGAGCAGCACATTTCGAATCTGAAATTCCCATTTTACTGCGATGCTTCTTTTCAGAGTTATACCCGGTAGATCGTAATAACTCAATTCCCAGCATTTGTCAAAAATGTAATTACACCTTCAAAAAAGCTGAAAACACTCGTAAAAAGTTGTTAGGTGGAATTATCATGTGAGAAAACCCTAGTACACGATTTTTCAGATTTCTTGAAGAGAATTTTGTTAGGTGGTATATTTCACACTGGTTTCATATGCTGCAAGTTCGTGCCGTAATTTTACAGCAATGAAAAGCGATAGATGATTCGCTCCATACTGTAAATCTAAGTTTAACCTCGCTCTACAAAACGGTACCTGAAGCTTCTCGAAACACTTCATTATAAGAGAGTTATTTGCAATCAAACAGTAGGCACATTTTTTTGGGACACCCTGTATAATACTTCCAGAAAATATACTTAAATTGCATGACTTCCATCAAAGTGTAAATCTTATATATAAAGCTGAATGTCTGTCTGTATGTATGTCTGTATGTCTGTCTGTATGTATGTGCGGAATAGAAATTTTTATTTCTGAACCGATCGGGACAAAAAGTGGACTATGACACGCTCCCTGCCCCGAAGTGTATGTGTGCAAAGTTTGGCCCCGGGCGGAGCCGGGTTTGCCATCTAGTAATTTATAATGACTTGAAACGCGAGATGACCAAAGACGGAAAACAAGTTCTGAAGGTGGTCAATACTTTGAAGATTTTTAGTTTTTTGAAACGATTGGAAAAGTTAGGACTTGTAACAGAGAAAATAACATCAAGCGTAGCAATACAAAAGCTTGAAGCAAATCAAAACTGCAAAGTATTCAAGCGTAACATATACAGGAAATAAACTAGAAATTCTTATGGGCAACCAACTTCATTTGAACCAAAAGTATACAAAATGTTCATTTTTTGGTCACTTCAGGTAAAGCTTGAGATTAACTGATTGCCTCTTCAATCGTCGATACATCGCACTTCAGACGGGCAAGAGGGGAAGCGTAGCAAAGTCTGGGTTTTGGGAAAGTTTTATCGTGACTTTTTCCACAATATACATAATTGCTGTTGTGTTAATTCTGATCAGTTGTTTTCTCGTATGATCTGCC